ATGTATATATATATATATATAATTAAAAAAAAAAATTTATTAAAGCTGTATTTCATTTTAGAGTCAAGTCTAGGCCTCATGAAAGCACTTTTTGAAATGAGATCGGAGCCATCTGGTGGACACACTGAGCATTTTTATCACGCAATAGCACATTTTTACCACTAGTGGATTTACAGCTCTCTGTAGAAACCTATGGTAGAAACACTTTAGTGATTTTTTCACATATTGTTTAATTTTTTTCAGGTTGTTGATTTGAATATATAATAACAGATTCTCAAAGACTATCTTTTTCCTTGTTTTTAAATAAAAAAAAATTGCATTATAAAGAGAACAAATGGAAAACATTTTGTCACCCATTGTTTTAAGAGATTCACCCCATCACTGTTGTGTGCTTTTTTTCTGCATCCTGGCTGTTTTGTAGATTGTATGCACAAAAAAACTCTGTATTTTCAAATTTTGCCAATTTCCCATTCATTTCCTATGGGGGTCATTTTTGACCCGAAGGTCTTGAGTGTGACTATTTTGTTTACGACCACTTAGACTTTTCAAATCCTGTCCCCAATTTTTTGGGGTGTTCATATACCAAGTACCAAAAAAGTCACCAAGTTTCGGACCATTCCGATGAAGCTACAATTTTTAACATTTGTTTTAAAAACGCTTCGGGACATTTTTGTCCCGAAGTACCCCAGAGGGTATAGAAAATATTTATTTTAAATTTGTAATAATATTTCACAATATTGTTATTACTGTATTTTTGATCAAATAAATGCAGTCTTGGTGTGCATGACAGACTTCTTTCAAAAACGTTTTGAAATTCTTACCACCCCCAAACTTTTGAACGTTAGTGCAGGTCACACTACTTTACACTTTACACCAATATACGCTCTTTCAGTAAACTCCCAATCCCAATTACTTACTGTGCAAACAGCCACGCCCAATCTTTTTCACTCCTTTCTTTAACTTGTTTGCTCACACGTTTAAGCTGTAAATGGTAAAGCGTTGAAGAGAAACCTGTGAGAGATGGTATAAGGGGTTGAGGGAGAGCGAGAGGAGCACATCGGTGTGATTGCAGTAAGAAAAGTCCTTCAGAATGTGTGTTTGACGATCATGTGTGCGTCTAGATGTCTGTTTGGTGAGTCAGTGTATTTGGCGAAGAGAGGTCAAGAAAACTGTGAATGTTCTGATGTCATGTAGCCAAACCAACATAAATCAGGTCACCCCAGTCAGCTCGGGCTTTAACTCACTTTTCTATCCATTGATATAAATTGTTAGATTCCGTATTATGTTCACATACAGATTCCACACAAAAACACGGTCCATATAAATATGCATTCATTGTGCGTGTGTGTGTGTGTGTGTGCGCACGCGCGTGTGTGTGTGCACCAGTGTTGGGGAAAGTACTTTGAAACTGTAGCTTGCCAAACTACAAGATAATCATACTATAAAGTAGTTATATTATTAATATAAAATCAAGCTGCCCTTTTGAAAAAGTAGCAAGCTGCGCTCCAAGATACTAACAAAAACTACCTTGTAGCTATTTAATATCTTTATAAATACACACCATTCACAAGTTTTTGAAAGAAATTCATACTTTTATTCAACCCCCCTACTCTTATAAAACTAAAGTCGAAAGTTTAGTGTTGTACAGGAACTTTCAGTATTTACACGATTATTTACATGAATCACTGCGGGAAAAAAACTGAATTACTGAAATGAATCAGACTTCAATCAGCGCTACAATATTCAAAGCTTGACTGTTTTGAAAACAGTAAAGTTGGGTTACTGAAAAAAAATGTTAAGATGTTAGAAAAAGTTACCAGGATTGATACTTTTAGCTAGTTATTTAGAGACATGCACATGTAAAATTATGCGGATGCAAAACTTGAGAGTGTTTGGCCATTTTAACAGTCTGCTAATAGAGTCCCATATGTCATACAACATGAGAGCGAGCGAAAGTCATTTCAGTGGAAAGTATGACCATATTCTCTTACTGTGTGACTATTTTTGCCACTATCGTCACTCTTAATACCAAAACAACCTTTTAAAAGTATGAGGACACGAAAGTATACGGAAAGGAAGAAGAGGAATTACTGGATAAGACATATTTTCCCCATGTGTAATATCTGAATGAATCGGTCAGTTGAGGGAAACGGGGAAAGAGGTAGGCAGAGTGAAATGAGAGTGTATGTGTGTGTGTCTGGTTGTTAATATAAACCAGAGTTTGACTGTTCCCTTGGTCTTGGAGTCAACAGCATAAATTATCATAAATTAATGGCTGATGCCAGCCAGAGGGTACCTGAACAGGCTAACCATTTTGATATCGGGCCTATTGTAGTTCACATGACTGTTTTAAATTATTAAATAACTAGTAACATTGCTGTGGTAATTGTGTATGACCAACATTTCATTTATTAGGCGAAACACCCTGATGTCTAGACATGGGGAAATCGACTTTACAAGTATACTTTTTACAAGAATTTACAAAAGTTATTTCCATTTATATTCAGGTAAGGGTATGTTTTTATTATTATTTACACATAAGATACAAGCACAAATCTGAAACTATGGTAGATGCTAAAATAGGCATATGCATAATAGGTTATTTATGGTATAAATGTACATGACAAATGTTCCAGAATCCACATTTACAATGCAGGTTACAATCTGAATTTAATTAACATTTCTAAACTTGAGTTTAAACTGGTGCAGTAGTCTTTCATTTAGCTTCATTTAGTTAAGTTTAGTTGCCAAAGTTAGCCAGATTATTGACATCAAATCTTTGAAAGATACTGAGGGTTTTGTTTAAAGCACTTAGTATTATTCTACATTGTTTTATCTGTAAAATTATTTCCATCTAATCAGTTACTCAGATTATCAATATAATTTTTTTTATGTTTTTGTTGTTTTCTGTTTCTCTACAATTATTAGATTTTTTTTCCAACACTAGTATCATCAATCACAGATAAACAATTACCAACTTTTTCAGATAAACCCTTAAATTTATATACATGCATTTAGGCAGAAATGCCACTTAAAAACAACAGATTTGGCCTGAATGAGCTGCAAAATGGGCCAGACTTGTCCAAATTGTCCAACTGCAAAATGGGACAACTTGCCAAGTTGAAATTATTTTCTCTGTTGATTGTAACAGTATGTCGCATAGAGCTCAAGCTGCATTGAATATTCATTTCTGTTCAACTATATATATATGAATATTCAGTTTAGTTTACTTGTGTTGCTAAATGTGGTTAAAAGTGATTCTGAGGCTGTTGATAATAGATATAGAAAACAAACATCTGTCTAAAAGACTAGTATGTGTACTGTATGTATAACAGTGTTGTTATTAACAAAACAAAAAAAAATGTGTTAATTGAAATAAAGCTGAAATACAATAGAATATAAATATTAGATGGAAAAACCTAAACTTACCTTAAAAAACTGAAGTGAAATAAGTTTAAAGGGATACTCCAACACTGGAAAAATGGACTTTCAATACAATTCGGCTGCCTATACTATAGACCGTTGATTTAAAAAAAAAAAAAATGTAATGCACTGGGCTTGTTGCCGTCCAAGGCCACTGCCACCAGTCATACACTTACCAGAGTCAAATACCACCTTGCTTTAGTAGGAAATACTCTCAGCAAACTTTTATTCATAATAGTGTTGACTTGTATTGTTCCCAGGGTGCAAGAATTCAAAGAGTTAACGTTTAGTGAAAGTGAGTTACTTTCGGTTTCCAGTGAAGGATCCAGTACGTTTTAGGCAGCGGCTAAAGGGGGCAAAGAATCATAATTTGTAGTCAACATTTCAAACTGGATGACCACTAACACAGTGTTTTAGGACAAAGAAAGTGCCATTTTCACAAAAGTCCTGGAGCTGTTTAAAGGATTTTTGCTGATAAATCAAGGTAACAAGGTAACATTGTGAATGAATAAACATTGTTCATTTACTACCACCAACAATCTAGCAATACAAAGCAGGTTATCTGCAAAGCTAAAAACACAAAAAATAATGACAAAAGCAAAAAACTAAATTATTAAAACTTAAAGTATAAGTTTTTAAAGTAAAGTATATAAATAATACTAAAGTAACACTGGTGTATAGGCCTTTTTAGCGGTTTCCGGCCATGCACATGCACATTCACATATCCGTGAATCACTTAAAAAACAAATCCTTGTGTTTAGTGTGTGTGGACAACAGCAAGGTTTCGTTTTTCAATTGACTTTTGCACAAAAAAAGCGAATCGTCTTTTATTATTATAATTATTCCATTGTGAGCTATGTACCATTTTTCCAGTAGTCGGATGGAGTCATAACCGCAGTCGTTGCTGGGCGAGGCTCAAGTATGCAAATAATGCTATAAAGCATTTTTTTTTTCTTCAGAAGATAATGAATTAATGCCCCAGTTTCAACGCTTTATGGCCCTCCAGGAAAATATTGTTTAGTTTGAAGGGACTCTAAATTCCCGGCCATGTGGGAGTTTGTTAGTATTAACATCAGTGAAATAAATTAAGGCAACCCAGTTCTCCTCTGTGTCATTTAATAAATAGCTTATGGTGTAAATATATCACGCTTTTCAAAGCGGATTATAGGGAAAACGCCTCATGCATGATATGTTTCTCTCCTGAAATGACCGTAACCCATATTCAGAGTCAAATTAAGCCCAAATTCTCTCCTTCCTTGCAGCAGATAACTTTGTCGCACAATGCACCAGGTGTACAGCTGTGTGTGTATGCGTGTCCCACTGCAGTCTGGAGTCGAACGCAGACAGGCTCCTGGGAAAGCACGATGTAATCTCGCAAGCACACTCGTTTTCTTTTCTTTACCTCCCTTTCCTTCCTTTTGTCCCCTCCCCTTCTCATTTTCTTCTCTCTTTGGTGAGGAACTCAAAGCATTAGCAGCAGCACTTCCTGGTTGTGTGGGTGGGCGGTTCCAGTGAGCGTGATTGGCGCTTGAGTTCGGTGCTCTGCGCAGTGCTGATGTTTCTCGCTCTCGCAGGCTCACACACACACACACACACACAGTGGCGCAACCAGCAGCCACACGCGCTCTGTCTCTCTATCTGTCTCTCTCTCTCTTTCTCCTCCTCTCTGAGAATGGTCCACCCGGTGCCTGAGGCTCTGCTGTCGCGGCCTGCCGCCCGTGTCTGATCTCTCACACACATACGCGCACTCAATAGTAATCATGATGTGAGAGGTAAGAACTGCTTTTTCTCGCGCTCCCGTTCCTGTCTGTCTCTCTTTCGCTGTTCTAACAGCCGAGGCTTGAAGCACTGCACCACTTTTGCACGCTTGCTGTGTGAGGATGGGGGGTTGTTCTGTGTGTGTGTGTGTGGGCTGCCTTTGACTTTATAGGGTGCTTTTGTGGTTAACTGCAGTTTGTTATGTCTTGGGGACTGCAAACAAATCTCAGCAGTGTTTTTCCGCGTACTTAAAAGTTGCGGTTGCATCTGTGCGTGTGCGTTTGGCAGGAAACGTCCCTCGCGCAGGTACTCCCCCACCCCTCCGCGACCGGCTACTTGTTTAGACAGTGGCAGCCGTGCGATTGGTTAACTGTTGATCCTGAGAGCACTTCTCCTTTTTTAAGCCCCCCTCTCGGGTCTCACTTCCCTTCTGTTTGTTTTATGCGCGTACCAGCGTGTGCATGTTTTTTTCTTCTTTTTTTTTTTTTGCATACGCTCTAGGGCTCTGTCGTAAGAGCCCGAGAGCTTCTTTCCACTCCCCCCCACATGTAAATTACGTGTGACATGTTTAACTGCTGTTTCCTAATATGGCTCGTGCTAGATTTCAGAGCGGTAGGACCCAGTCAGGCACCCTGGGACTGCACAGGGGCGTGTGTGTGAGAGCGTAACTGTCTGCGAGAGGGAAAAGAGAGGGGAGAGAGATATTGACGCAGGTTTTCACTTCTGTCTGAGTGCGTCACTCTTCCATGCAGTCATGTAAGTAAACGCTGAACACGCTCTCACTGCAGAGAGAAACATATGGAGTCGAGCTCTCGCAAGTCTGCTCGTCGGCTGCTCGCGGTGGTTTTCCTGCGCTAAAGGGAAACGTAAACATGTAAGAAAAGATTGCTTAAGAACAGGTTATGCTGACTTTTAGGGCACTTCATAGGCGGGTTATTGTTTCACCGTGCTGCAGACTGTTAAAACCCAGAAAATGACGAAAGAGCATCGTCGCTGAGAAGGGTGTGTGTGATTAAAGCCATTGTTTCAGTTGTTTGAAGATCATGTTTTTTTGGAGGGGGAGGAAGGAAAATAAACAAATAATATGTCTGGGGTGGTCTGGCGCCAAGTCTTCGGGTTTTGTCGACGGCACGCTGTAGTTGAGAAAGTGAAAGTGTCAGGAAAATAAGCACATGGAGTCTTTATTGGGAAGCACACTTCACTTTAGTTCTCTAATTCACTTCCGATTCTGTTCAGACTAGCTCTAAATCTCTTTTTAGCAGAATTCTGCATTAGCAATGTAAACAGTGAATAATCAGGCATGCAAAAAGATTCTTGTATTTGGTTTAATCTCATATGCTAGCTATTATAGGTTACACTTTATTTTAAGGTGACGTAGTTACATAGTACTTACTCAAATAAGTACTGAGTAATACTAATTAACTGCATGTACTTACTATAAAGTTAACGGGTATGGTTTGGTTTAGGGTTAGTTACTTGTAAATATGCATGATTTACTGTTATTACTATTGTAAGTACATGTAGTAAAGTGTAACTACGTCACCTTAAAATAAATTGTTACCCTATTATACGACTGTTCCGACGATAAACATATTGCACCTGCGTTGTTCGCGCCATCTCACATCTTATCCTAGGGTTTTCTGTGGTTTTCAGGTGCTAGACTTTCATTTGCCAAAGAATGCTTTGTGTTTTTGCATGCTAATGATGCCTGCTGTCTTTAATGCCACTAATGAAATATATCTGATGACGACTGCATGTTGAATGTATCAAGATGTTTATGCGCGCCGCTTAACATCTAGAGGGCGTTGTAGAAAAACACTTATGTTTTAATAAAACTCAAAGTCTTATCATACTGATCTATTATTGTCATTTGAATAGTTAATAAATAATAGGTTGAAAACCATTAACCTTCAACCTTTTCGATTCTCACAGCTTTGCAGGACGTTTGTGGGTTTATAAACCGTGTATGTTTCTGAGTTACTGGGTAGAAGGGCTTTGTGCTGTGTAACCATGGTGATGATACTATTTTCAACCCTTTCCAACATGGCAATCATCACCTACACACGTCTGAGTCAAACGATGTAATGCTGTGGTTTAGATAACCATCTCTGCTGCCCGCACACCTTTCTGATCAAGCACTCCACCCAGATTCAGGCCAGTTCCTTCATGCATGGAAAAAATGCTGATTTGGGTTCCGCTGAATGTGGAGTTAATATAATCAGTATTTTAGAGCGTTCACATCTTGCCTGATTCCAGATCAGAAGCTTTTCAGTTCTGAATTGCAAAGCGACATCATAAAGATCCATTCTATATCTCAGATTGTGCTTGAGTCTGATAGGTTCTGAAAAATGAGCTGTACTTTAAGGCCGTAGTTATGTGGTTTTTGGGATTTTTCCGAAATAAACGTACAGGTTTGTTCTTGAATGTTAATTTTTAAGGTATGGTCATAAAAAGGTGGTTCACATTAGGTTCAACACATCCTTAATTTTGTGAAAAATCATTTTTGGCTGAATATTTGGTATTTTGGTATTGGTATTTTTTTTGGCTGTATATGGTTCTTTAGAGATTTGTAGAAGTTCTTGATATTACATTCATCAAGTTCTTTAGATCAGCTGATTGGTTTCTGTGTTCTTCAAGTTCAAATATGGTTTTCTAAAGAACTAGAGAATAAAGTTATTTGTGGAACTTTCAGGTTCTATGACATCATACTGTAAAAATCCTTCTAGTTTTTAGTTCCTACAGTGTATGGTTCTGTTTATAAAAGTGTTGGTGCAGGTCATCATACTTTTAGATCCTTAAACGGTAACAGTTTCCCATATACTTAGGTATTAGCTGTTATGTTTACAAATGTGAACCAGTCTCAAACACTGCTGTTTCAATATTAATATGATGCATATTTGAAGAGTCAAAGATCTATGCAGGCAGTGTTTGTTTTTGTTTCCTAAACAGGCTAAACTCAGACTGATTTTAACCTTTAATTATAATTCCTCCATTTAAAAAGCAGTCCTTTAATATTGCACTGCTGCCAAATTACAAACAGAGCCACTGGAAATCAAAATGTTCAATCAGGCGTTTTTCACCAGCAGGAGCATATTAGACATCACTACAGACGTAAATAAAGCCATGAGCCAAAGTGCAAAAAGAATGAAACATTTAATATCTCATTCATGTGAATCATTGAAATAGTTTCCACTTCTTAAACGAGAACATAACATCCAGTTCTCCTCCCAGTGGCAAAAATGTTTGACTTTTTAATGGGCTTTGATTGGCATACTTCCAGATCATTCTCTCTCTCTCTCTCTCTCTCTCTCTCTCTCTCTCTCTCTCTCTCTCTCTCTCTCTCTCTCTCTCTCTCTCTCTCTCTCTCTCTCTCTCTCTCGCTCGTTCTTATTTTCTCTCCTTGTTTGACCTTGCAGCAACTTCTAAGAATTCTGTTATTGCTCCGCAAAGGATTGTGGGAGATGTACAGTGACTTAATAGCCAAATCATTTAACCAAAAAAGAAAAGTTGGACCAAAGAAACGGCATCGTTATGATCAAGTGAAGACTAGGATCTTAAAGTAGGATCCAGGTCTGAGCATGAATTTTCTTTAATTGTCATGGCGATTATTCCTCTTCTCAGTAAACACAGATAACGCAGGCATGAGCCTGTTTAATGCAAGATCAAAATCACGCTGCAAGGCTCATGAATTCACATTATCCAGCGCGATCGCTTACTTTTCATTTCACAAAATCATTTAGCCTCTTTTGAGTATTCAGTGTTCCCAGGATCCAGTTTGCTTCCACACTGAAAGTCTTATCGGATTAAAATATGTCATTCCATAAACAGGGCTGTGTTTTGTGTGTGTGTGTGTGTGTGTGTGTGTGTGCGTTTGTTTTTATAATGTACTTGATCCAAGGTAGCATACCAGTGCTCTTACAAAAATTTACCATGGTAACCATATTTCTGATAAAGACCTAGTGAAAAATAAATATACCAAAATGTATTTGAAATATATTTATTTAATGCTAAGTAAATATACTTCAAATACATTTACATATGTATTTACTGTGCTTAATATAAATACTCTTCAGTTGTACTTTTGTTATACTATATTTATAAACTTAAAGTCTACTAAATTAAACTAATTTTGTACTTACTAGACTTTAGTTATCCAGAAATAGTGCTGAGGTCCAACTAAAGATATACTTAAGTATATTTGATTGTGCTAAAATGGACTCTAAATATCTCGCATTTAAAGACTGATATTATACAGTGATCATACTATCCTTACTAATAGTGATATTAAAACACATTTTAGGCTTTATATTAAGAAATGCGCATTGTGCAATAAATAAATACTCCAAATAAAGTGTTATTATATTTTTTATTTCAGGAAGTCTCAAGCGATATGTCAGTAAATATGTTAATGGATTTTGTAGTATACCATGTTTGTTTGTTTGTTTATAATATATTATAGAATTTAAAATATATTTAATTAATTTTAATATTTATTTATTTATTAGAATATATTTTATTATATATATAGAATATATATTATAGAATTATAAACATGTATATTTAAGCTAAATTATTATTTTATTATTTGTTTACCATGTTTTTTATTTATTTATAATATATTATAGAATTATAAATATGTATTTATTTGTTTGTTTTTTACTACTGGAAAATACTAATAAATTACTATATTTTTCCATTTTTTTGAAGTGAGTGGTGCTTGCGCATACAGACCCTATTCAGAGAGGCACTTTAGCACTTTGTTGTGGATGGTTGCTAAGGTATTCTGATTGGTTGCTAGGTGGTAACTTATTGGCCCAAATTAAAAGAGGCCACTCTCAAGTCTCTGTTATTCTGGTCTCTAGTTATGACATTTTTTTATTTAATTCATTTTATTTTCTTGTTTCTACGGAACTGGTAGCTAATACCAATCTTGCATGGTTGTATTAACAATAAATGGACTAACTGTCAATCAAGTTAAAATGATGTTAGATTTGTATAAAGGTGTCGCTTCTCACCCTCTCTCAGACTGATGATCATTTCGTTTATGGTGAAAGAGCTGCTGCTCTCAACTGGCATGCGTCCGAAAGGTTGCTACATCTCTGCTCACTGCGAGTCGCGCAATACTTTAGAGAAACAGGAAATGACCTCGCCATTCACTTTCCAACTTCTCGGTCTCTGTTAAATGATACGTCACAGCTCTTTAGCTGTAGCTGCGATGTGCTATTTGGTTCAGTTTTCCTCAACCTGGACTGAAACTTAAAATTCTGAAGGGTTGCTTTGTATGTGTTCCGTGTGTGTGTGTGTGTGTGTGTGTGTGGATAAGACAGAGACCAGTGTGTGTATCTGTGTCAGTGGGGTGTGTGTTAGTCCAGGAATGTGAGTGACAATGTTTTATTTGCTCTGAGTCTGACTAACAGTATTCTGCAGACTTCAGTGCATTTCTGGCATTTTTAGGGGTGTGAAGGATGTATGCAGCTGGTGAGAGTCTAATAGAGATCGAGTGAGAAACACAGAGAGGTAGTGAGATAAAGTGGAAGATCGGCTGCATCCCAATTCTTCTCATGCTGTCTGTCCTAATTAGTACAATTCCATGCAGTGAATTTTCAGAATGTGCATTTTCTGTGTGCGTGGAATACCTGGATAATCTACTTCTACTGCATCTGCCAAAATATGCAGTAATGTAATGCTCCCAACTTGACATTCCATAAATACTTGATCTATTTTTACACGAAACTGGTCAAAAATGCACAATATGTTTATTTCTGAGATGATAACTGGACAGAGGAAATAAACAGGAGTCATATGATGGCCTCATGATGATGAGCTCATGTGATGGTAATGTAGCATGCTATAGTTTGAAATGGTTATTGTTGCATTATGCATTCCATATCACATGCTATTTTGAAAAGAATAGCACGTATTATACACTATATGGGTGATTCTTCAGTTAGGGGAACTTTTTGTGTCCTCTAAGATGATTAAAAATAAATAAACAAAAAATTATATTAGCTTCCATTTTGTATTTGCGATAGATAGATAGATTTTTTCATAGTTGTAAGGTGAAATTTGCCATAATTTCAGTTCCCAGATTTTTTAACCTCCACTCTAAATTTATTTATATATTTTTTTAAATGAGGACAGGTTTTTTTTGCACCTCTTCCTGAGAACCTTAATATTTATTTGTATTTATGTGTTCAATTTGTAACTTTATTAGGATTTTTCTTTATTTTATTTGAGAAATCAGCTCAGTTTCAGATTGTAATATATAAACTTTAATAAATTAATTTAAATTGTATTAAAAAAAAAAATACATACATACACACATACCTACATACTAGATAACAATGGACTGCAAGCTAACATGTTGTTTTTGCATGAAGATGAAGATTGCAGGTAGTCGAAAGTACGGTTCGTTTCAGTTTAGCTCACCGTTCCGTCCACAGTGAAATAATCTAATCACAGACCCGAATGATGAAAATGTTTGCTGAAGAGCCCTTAGGAAGATGGTATAAAGCTGTTTTCCCCCTCTTTTCCTCTGTTGCAGGTGGGTACTAAGTATCGTGCCCTCTCTTGCGTCTGCCGCTGCTTGGAGCTGCTTATAGTACCAGCCTCAGCTTTCCTGCCTGCTTGCTGCCCACATCAGTGAAAGACTTGCCCGCACAACCCCACAATCCCTGTGACCCCGAACGACCCCTACCTGACAGAGCTGAAGTGGGCACTATTGAATCAGCCAATCAGAGTCAAGAATTTTTGCTTTGGGATCCATTACTGCAGTTCAGTTTTTCCTTGAAGCAACATTTTTTTGTTTGTTCTTTTTCCTTTGGCCTGGCGTGTATCCACGAGGAAAGGGGAGCTTAATGATCTAAGAAAGAGAACATTAGCAAAAAGGACAAACTACTTTTGACAAAACACAAGCACACCCAAAGCACTTTGGGATTTTAAGGAACTGAAGTTTGCTTGCCGCTAAAGCGAGATGGCGATGAATATGGCTCACATGCGGGACACGAAATGGCTGACGCTGGAGGTGTGTCGAGAGTTTCAGCGGGGAACGTGCTCACGCTCCGATGCTGAGTGCAAGTTTGCGCATCCTGCCAAGAGCTGCCAGGTGGAGAACGGGCGAGTCATTGCGTGCTTTGATTCGCTGAAGGTAAGAAACGTCTCGGACTTCCAACTCTAGTGTGCACAGTCAGAGCGTTAATGCCGTTTACACGTATTTCGTTGAAATTCTGGTTGAAATCTGTTAGTCTTTCTGCTCTTTCTTAATGGAGTATGCCCACTTTTGGTCACATTTATTATTATTTTTATTTTATTATCAGTTTTATCAATTTTTTTATTTATCATTATTTGTTTTTGTTTTTATACCTATTTTATTTTATAATCACAGTAGAGAAAAGAGAGAAAAAAAGTTGAAGGACAGGCCATACTGTAAATTTTACCAAGCTAGAATAGAACTCTACGAGCACTTTTGGTCACATGGTTATATTTAGTATTTTTGTATTATGTTTTTGTTTTATTTGTATAATTTTATTATATTTATTTAACTTTTTTATTTTTCTATTTTATTATATTTATTTAACTTTCTTTTTTTATTTAATTTAATTTTTGACCTTTGACTTTTATTTTGTAACCATAAAAAAAGGACTGGAAAAGATGTAGAGAGGCAGGCCTAGAAAATGCTGCAAGCTAAACTAGAAACGCTCACACTTTGGTTACATGATTATATATTTTTCATTATTTTATATAATTTGTATTATTTTAATTGTATTATTCATTATTAAAAAATACATTTTAATTATTTATTTTTTTATTTTTTACCTTTTGATGATTTTTTTTCTTTTGACCATGATACCGAAAGGACAGGAAAAGAAGAGCTGGAAGAGAAGTGAGACTGGAAAATGTTGCTAGCTAGACTAGAACCCTCACTGCTAGTAGACTAGAACTGCTAGTTTAGCAGTTTTTGTTTGTAAAGATGCAAATATTCAAAGTTATTCATTCATTGATTATGAATTTTTTACCAAGTTTGACTAGTTTATTCATTTTACTAGTCAAATAGCACTTTTATGAGCATGAAAATAAGCAAGATTAGTTTCCATATTATCTGGCTGTATAAATGGGCCAGTGTTTTACCTTAGAATGACACGGCTGAGGCTTTAGTCATAAATTTCTTCTTCATACTTGGATGCTAACGTGAGCATTCCACACAGTTTATAAAAATGCAAATCAACTGCACTGTAAAGCACAGTGAATTTTATATAGGAATTTCTTTTAAAGTAGTAGTCTAGACGAGTACTACTCACAAGACCGTTTTGAGTGGTTCATGGAGTGTGAAGTCAAAGAAACAACAAAAACTTGTTTCTAAATATTTTTTTTTTCTGATGCGAGACTTTTATTTTGACAAAGACATATGAAAGCTGTTGACTCTTCTGTAAACACTTTGCTCTTCTGCCAGAATTTTTTTTTTTTTTTTGTAATTCCACTGAGCTACATTTCCATAGAGTGATGCAGGTATGACATCAGAACCCGGAAGTCTAATTCCTTCGAGATTTTCCAATGGGGTTTTTCACTTTATGAGTAAAATAAAGCCTGTGGTAATCATAACTTAACGATACTTTGACATTTTGTTCTACAACGTACACTGCAGACACTCACACGCCAAACTGTTTTATTTAGTTACTTATTAAAACCGTACGTTTTCAAAAAAATGAACATAACCCCTTCACAAAATTGTTGTAGAACAAAACGTCAAAGTATCGTCTAGTTATGTTTACAGTACTCATGTGTGTTAACCATTTTTGATAAATAAATTGGCTTGGTTCAAATTCCCAAATATTTGGGTCACGGCTTAATGACCATTGGAAAATGTGGGTCCCATAGACCTTATTCACAGCAGCGCCATCTTTGATTTTTAACGGCAATGAAAGAGAGGCTGTGAGAGATAGACATGGGTTTTGCTGTTATTTGGTGTGTTTTTTTTATTTAAAACTGCAAAAATATCTTCCCAAGAAGTTTCAGTAGACAAAATTATAAGTGATCTATGAGCTTTATACAGCTTTTTACAGCGGGTGCCATTGAAAACATGGTCTATCCCTCACAGCCTCACTTTCATACCCGTCATGGCGCTGCTCTGAATAAGGTCTATTGCCAAACCAGTTGAGAACTACTGGTCTAGACCACAAGACTTATGGGAGGAGCCCATCACAATGGCAACACACCAATGTTGGCGGGATCGAAACTGCGATGATCATTGTCACTTAAAGAACACAAGTCTTATGTAGAGTAAAAGAGCATTTTCTTGACCTTTATATGACTGGAATCCTCAGCATTTTGCATAGAAGTTCCTGCAAACTCTCAAAGTTGCAAAACATTTCAACAAATGTCCAAATCCAGGTCTCTGAGAGGAGAAGACTAAACATAAACTGATTATTCTGTGCTTTGCTGCCTTTTAATGACACACTGAATCTCTTATGTTTGGACAAGACTGAGGATGAGGTCTTATGTGTGGAATTACCCTGGTGAGATGGTGCTTGAGCGTTTCTGCTCAGCGCTGCTCTTTCCTGCAGGTTTTCAGTTCAGTTCCTCATTTGGTCAGTCAAAGAGACACTCAGCACAGCTTATGTACTCTAAAACCACCAGCACCCGAGCCTGGATGAGCAAGACAACATTAAGCTCTCAAAACTCCAAAAGGTTTTGGAGATCTGGTGTTCACGATAATGGTTTTCATTTCATTTTGATAATTATATGGCTATATTGTATTTTTAAACCCTTTGAGTATTCAGCAAAAAGCCACTGGTATTAGTACAAATCCCCCAAATATGAGAAATATATATAGAGAGAGGCCGCTCACAGAAGCTAATGCATGTGTTTCCCTCATTCCCATTTCCTGTCCCATGTTCTGAACGGAGTATTTGCTCTCTCCAGAACAAAATCCTCTATGATGAACAGGCTGATACCAACCGCTAACTCCACAGAGATCTGATCCTCGTCCATGAGCCCTCCGCTTTTCCCTCTAATAACACCAAAAATCACATCCAACAGTGCGGACCCCAAGATTGGTTCTCTCCGAAAGTCTGAGTCAACAGAGACTGAAAAGTCTGTAATGCCTAGCAGAAGAAACTAGGGTTCTCACAACTTTCTGCCATTCAGATGCATCTAATGTTTGGTGTTTAAAGAAGGAAGACGTCATTCTGTTACGACGAGATGTTTGAAGCGGTGGACGATTGTTATTTTAAGTTCTGGCAAAAAAAAAAAACGAAACGTGCTCAAGTTTACTCGTTTTATTTTATGTAATTAATACAATTTTATATAAAAAAAATGTATACGTATAATGAATTAATTTTACAAATATTTTTTAATCCTTGTCTTAGCAAGGATGTCTAAAAGGTTTTTCCAGTAATGTTTTGATAAATGAATTATGGGCTGTGTTACATCTGTCCAGAATGAGCTTGAAGTTCCACCAATCCATTACTTTGGTTCATATCGCCCAGTGTTTGGCTTAGTGTGGAGCTACTAAATTATTGATGTAACTAAATATATTTAAATATTAAAAAGAACACATGTGCTAAATTATTAAAATGTCTAAATACGCTGAAATATTAAAAACATACGTTATGAGTTTATTAGCTGTTCATTTGTATCACCTGGACTTTTCAAACAACTCCACGTAGTGTGTGTGTGTGTGTGTGTGAGAGAGAGAGAGAGAGAGAGAGAGAGAGAGAGAGAGTGAGTGTGTGTGTGTGTGTGTGGTGTGTGTGTGTGTGTGCATGACCACTTCCTTCCAGAGCAGTAGGGAATGCCACTTTGTAATTTTCCATCTATTTTTACACGGCAGGAGTAAAGCAAATACGCGCACAGACACACACTGACAGGGGGGTTCAAGCTAAATCTCGGGTCTGCTGGGAAACTGTGGCAACGTTTCAGGTGTTCCCCTCCACACACACACGAAGACACACATTAGACATTTGTTTTTGTTAGACACATCCAGTAGTAGAGACACTTTCAATAAATATACAACATTTACAAAAAAAGTACTATGGTACTATTATTTTTTTGTTGTTTTATGTTTAAAGAACGGCTTTAATACATTTTAAAATATAACTTATTCTTGTGATGCAAAGCTGAATTTTCAGCATCATTACTTCAGTCTTCAGTGTCACATGATCCTTCAGAAATCATTCTAATATGCCGATTTGCTGGTCAAGAAACATTTCTTATTATTATCAATGTTGAAAATATATTTTTGTATAAATGTGATAGTTTTTCAGGATTATTTGATGAATAGAAAAGTTCAAAAGAACATTTATTTGAAAGAAAAATATTTTGTAACATTATAAATATCTTTACTGTCACTTTTGATCCACGAGTCCTTGCTGAATAAAAATATAAATTTATTTTAAAAAAGACCTTACTGTTAATTTGTTACAATTAAACAAATATGTCGTCATACCTCACAGCTAGAGCCACAGTACTGTTTTCTAAAGGAGGTTGAGTAAAAACAGATGAATCGTGTGAAGATCTACTGTGAATACAGGCCAGTGAGAGTCGTGAATCTAGCGCTTGCCTCGTGTGTTTGTGTGTGTGTGTGTTTGAGAGAGAAAGAGAGGTAAAGATCTAAAGAAATTGTTTCAGTGCAGATGTGAAGAGAAGAACATTGTTGTGTGTGTGTGTGTGTGTGTGTAACAGCTCTCTTGGCCATGTTGGATCATGCTGGCTGGATGAAAAGCACACTGTGAGGCTGCTGACGCTGACTGCCATGGGCCAAAGTCCAGACACACACACACACACACACACACTGCTCAACTTTATCTATCATCCTTCCATCTGACAGAATGATAGATCTGTTATCTCTTCCTGTATAAATATCACCAGACTGTCAGAGATAGAGAATGTGACACAAATTAAGTAAATAAAACTGACAGAAAAGGAGAGCTTTAATATGGAGGGAAAAGGAACCTGTTAAAATAACACTGATTTTCAGAGAGAAAGAGAGAGAGGAACAGCTATGAATTCGGTGTTGTTTTACACTTTTGCTTCAAGCGAAATGGAAGATCATAGAGTGGAAAAGTGGCTTTGAGTAAAGCTGACGTGGGTGAGAGATGTTTGAGCCGACCGGCCAGTTTCCTCATCTCTAACAAGAAACAGGCCAGCCAT